CCTTCAAATTCTTTTCATTCAGCCCGATAACAAAGCTCAGCTAGTCGCATGATTCGTTGAACTATGTCAATTTCGTTACATTGCTCATCGTTTCATGCTCTGTAGTATTCGTCTTCCCCCATACTAAGACTATCATAAATTAAGAAAAAAAGACTCCTAGGCTGTAGTCATGAGAAAAGCCTTCAAATTCATACCGGGACGGGAATAATTAGTGAAAGAAAAAAAAAAAACTGAAAAAATATATCTTTAGCAAAATTGAGCTGTAATTTCTCAACGAAGGTTGTATATTCTGTTTAGTTCAACAACTCGTATTACTTCCTTTAGCCACACTATAAAGAATCAAGTTGCACAAAACTAGTGTTGTATCAAAATAAGAGATGATTCCCGATTACAGCTGAGTTTTCGGCGTTGAGCACCGTCAACTCTATACGTATTACGGAAAGGCGTGGGGGATCGGACAAATAAGCATATTTAAGTTCCAATAGTCGGCGAAAAATCTTTTAAAGTTACATACTCTGATTGCCGGTATGCCATCGGCTCACATCGCTTTCGTTTTTTTAAGGTGATCAATCGAGTTTTAAATTTCCTTAGGGTCGGGTAAGTCTATTCCATCATCATTGATTCGGTGCTTGGGTTCCTATTCTGCGGGTGCAGCATTTTTTAGCTTCTTAAGCACTTCGTACTTTCTTGAGGTTTTCGTATGACATCGCATATAAACCTCATCATATAACAATCCAACCAATTTTTCAGCTATTAACATTAATATTTAATCCTAGAATGAAATGCCAGAAATTTATTAAGATCATGCGTTACTGACCTTCTCTCTTGTGCTGTCTGGAAATGCATTTCTTCAACTCTCGATATACTTTCACACGGGTGGAGTTGCGCTCGATTGCAGACATTCTCTTTCCTCTCCCAATTGTATCAACTCAACTTCCGCCATTGTTGAATTGACTCTCTAGAGGGGGCATGCGGGGAACTTGAAACGTTTAGCGATCGCTCTTAGAGAGTAAGTGGCTGTTATACGAATTGATCGAATTAATTTACCTCACTTTCCACTTTAACAGCTTGTTTTTTTTCGCAGCGCCTTTTGGGGCTTAAAAACCTTTTTGATTTCCTATTTTTAGTTACTAATAACTTATAATAGACAGATGTAAACAACGACTAATCGTTCTTAAATCTAAATTTCAAATTTGAGTTCTAAGTGAGTCATCTCTTTGCTCTTTGGCAGTCCAAAAATAATATTTTGCCGGTCACAAAGGTTTTTCTTTAATTTAGTTAATAAAATCATACGAAGTGCAATGTGTTTCACTAGCTCACATGTGTATGTAGTTGTTAGTAAATATGAAGATTGCCCGGCCATTGAACTCTCGTGCACTTGACTGTTGCTTTCCATCAGCATTACCCTGAAAACTACACACTGAGTTTGTTTACTACATTGTATGTACTACCGCCATGCAAACATACTAACTGTTAGTTTTCACATATTTGATACAACAACAAGAACAACAATGGCGGATATGATTAGCTGGCAAAGTACAATAATTTATTTATAATTCGCTTGCTGCCTAAGGGCGTTCATTGACTTCAAGCAAGCAGCATAAGCCATTGTGGAAAATAAATATCAATTATTATGACATATTTACGTTTTTGATTTGAGAGTTGTTGATAAAAATTTTGTTTTTTGTTTTTTCAAAAAAGCTTCCAAATTATATCCAAGAAAGTTATCGTGTTGGCATAATTTTAGTGTTAGTATAAATATATTAATAATTTTGTCAAGTAATTTGCTCTTCTTCTTCTCCAAAGTCAATTAATTTTTATTTGCTTTGTCAAGTTTATGCAAATTTCTCGCTGTGGTCACACGCAATTAGCGGTTAATTAAGGAAACCTTTTTCTTTTCTTTTCTCCACTCACGTCAAAAGTGGCCAAACAAAAACCCGCTTACATACAACCCCACCCACACGCTTTCCCTTTGGCACTTTTATTTCACTTAATCACTTTTTAATTATTGTTTACTGTCCTTCTCAGCTCTCCCGCTCTCGACTTGGCGTGCCGCTCGCTCTGCAATTCTAGGTTGTTGTCTTTTGGCGTTGGTCAAAAGTTTGTCTGTTAAAAGTTTGCTGCCTCCTTTTGTGTGACTTTAAATTTGTAATTGTGGTAATTGGTTGTTAGTCATTAATTCTAAATTGCAGTTGTTCCTTAAATGAATTTTTTGCTTCGAAAAGTTTGCTGCGAATTTTTTTTTGCCTCCGAAAAGTTGGGAAGGTAGTAAGAAGTGAATTATAGATATATCTTTTATTAATTTTTGTTCCTAAAGTTTAACACGAAAAGAATGAAAAGGTGGAAGGTGGAGGTACTTGGTTTAGAGGAGTGTTCTTTGATGAGGCAATACTCCTCCAGAGTTGTCCTTTTTAGCTGCCAAAAACTTTACTTGTACTCAATGAGGTTTGCCAATTTCTTTTAGAACAGACTTTTCCCAGAACAACTTCTTTCAGCAAAGTCGAACAATTATGGATCGGTTGCGCACCGGGCTTAGTCTAATGGACAATGCGCATACTCAGTGTTGCCTTACAGTGCGCTCCAAAGCCGCTATTGCTGTTCTGGAGTGATGATAATCAACAGGCCATGGTTGAGAGGGCGTACTGTCCTCAAATAGTCACTGGACAGCGGAAATCATTGGTTTATATTTGAAAATTGAAATCGGTCATAATATTACAGTCATCATCAGTCATCATCAATTATATTAACCAATTGAAGGAGGTAGAAGTGGACGAGCTTTGGTTCCAACATAACGTCACCACATGCCACATAGCCAACGAAACAGTCAATTTATTGAAGGAGACTGTTGACGATCTCACGTCGTGGGCCTTAGGTATAGCGATCCACCACCAATGGACTATTTTTTTAAGGGAGGAAAATATTCAGCGGGATATTGTCGACAAATTAAACCTTTCGGCTGGAATTTATTCGGACCTGTCGCGTGGGTAACTTATCTGGAATAATTTTTTTGGCACAATAGCAGGACTTTATACTTATAATCAAGCTAAATTCTTGATTCAGTTAGCGGAACTGGCTACGTATTTTATGTACTGGTACAGTTGCCTTCCTCTGGTCATCTCACCAAATGCCTCACTGCTTATAAGGACATTTTCGGGAAATATCAGATTATTAATTTTAAAAATAGTTGTTGTTGTTATTGTAGCGGTTCGCTAACCCCGCTTAGGCACAGGTTTGATCAGTCTAAGTCGCCGAGGTCATCTAGTGGGAGGTCCAGGAAACGAGCTGTTTCGACAGGGTTGCACCAGAGGGAAAGGGGGGTTAGATGAGTTGGTTTGAGAGGGCGTGTGAAGAGGTGGATAAAGTCGTGCGGAGACTCTCCAAATGCAGGGCATACGTTGGGTACGCTGGAGTCTAGTCTGGATAAGTAGGAGTTTAACCTGCTACAATATGCAGACCTAAGTTGTGACAGGGTCACGCGGGTCTCTCGAGGCAGCTCGAACTCGTTGTCTGCTATGGGTGGTGGTTTTTCTCCGAGTATACCATTTACTTGAAGGGAGTCCTTGAGGGTGTTGACCGACTCCTGGTGAAGTCTAGTGCTCCCTTTCTGATGTGCCTAGGTGGAGGTTCAGCTTCTATGAGGTGCATCCCAATAGGAACTGCTTGCACAGCAAAGCATTATGCTCTTTAGCTCGTATCAAAGATGCTTCGCTGTGCAAGTGATGCTCCGGCGACATCAGGAGGTTTCCTGTCGCGGTCCTGAGGGCGGTTTAGGTCAACAGGTAACACAAGGTAATTTAAAAATAGTCTCCTCCTCAGCCGCTCTCACCTTGAATGTCCTTATCGAAAGTATTCTTGCCTGAGATATGTTATTTTATAATTATTTTGCTCATGTTAATGTTGGCTCTATGTTACTAACATTATCTGTTTATGATTTAACATTACTGTTAATGGTTTAACAGAAAACTATTTGTTAAAAATTTAACATGAACGAGGAAAAATGTAATAAAATTTATTTTGACAAATAAAATTGCCGAATGTCTAAGCGGAAAAAATTAATTTTTTTTAAATACTATGATTATAAATATACTTCCATTGAATAATTTTATATATGAAACATTAATGTCAAACAATACATTGAGTTCCCTCAGAACTGCTGTTTAGCAAATATTTTGTTTTTAATTTTTTTGAAATTTTGTAAAATTTTTGGATTAAAACTATTTCAAGGTTAGCAATAATTTATGTAAAATAGTTTATGTTTAGCTTCAACATTTGAAAGCATAAAATTTTTTGAACATGAGATGTAACTCTTCTAGTAATATATTTATTTTAAGTTGCCCAATTTCAATATTTTTCTTAGTGATTTCTGTCATTAATATTTTTGGCAACATTTTCCGCTTCATACAAATTTTAATACCAAAATATTTTACGCCAATAATTTATGTGAAAACAGATTGTATGTTAATACAGAATTTATGTTAACCAGATTTTATGTTAAGCGATTTTTTATGTTTGACAGTTTTTTAACTTTAAGTCCGACATTTGCCCCATCAAGAAACACACTGAGCACATTTTCCATCTAATTCCATAACAGCTGCTTTAATAATGCAGAAGAAACTTATGTTTGCTAAATAATGGTAAGCCATAAACGAAATTCTTTCAAAAACAAAAGTTTTTCTCTAAGTAAAAGTACAAAAGACGCTATCACAGAAAAATGACAAAAAAATAAATCTAATGAAATGTGAGTGGTTTGTGGTGATAAGACGCAAGAAAACGGCATAAAGTGGAATAGTTTTGACGAGTAAACCAATGAAAGCGACAACAAAGTTATTTGACAAAAGCCGCAAGGAGGGTGATGGCGACAAACTAAGATTTTCTTTTCTCATATAAAACATAAGCATAACATACCAATACAATAATAACGCTATGCACCAGGCATAACAAAAAAAGAAGAAGAAAATTAAATAGACAACAACAACTACGAGTATAAGTAAAACACTTACCTCAGACATTTTGCGTTTCTTTCTCATACAATCTCCAGTCAATGTTGGCTTTGTAGGCTTTGTTGCTTTTGTATAAGGAACTCTTTACGAAGTTTTCGCCTTGTGTTTGCTTATGTGCGTGCCACGGTATTTTTCGTAAGTTTCCTGAAGTGTGAAAATCTCAGGAATCCACGCGTTGCCACTACAGGTTATCGCACTTGTCAGTCATTTGCCTCGCTCACTGCCTCACTGCCTGACTGTCTGACTGACTGCCTGACTGGGTAAATGAGTAAGTGACTGATTGGACTGAGTGGGGGGCGTTGCGTGTTGATTGGCGTGTGCCCCAATGGAGCACACGTCGTATGATGAATTTTATGCCTCTGCGTATACGTGTATTTCTTATCAGCGCACAAACACACACTCGCAACACACACGAGTTCAACCATGCAAGTTTTTAGTTTATATACAACTTTTTGAATATTGCTGTGGCGTTTTGAATTTGAACGCTTTTATTTTTAAGTGAATTAATTTGCATTTAATGAAATTTCTTAAGCCGTTAAAACATTTTTACAATTTGTCTTGCAATTTTTTAACATTAATTTTTAGTTCGTTGTAATAAAGATTTTTTAATGAATATTTGAAATAAAGTGGAAAACATGTTTTATGCTGGTTGCTGTGAAATGTGTGAAGTTGTTAATTGAATTGTCTTTGAACATGCGCCTTAGCTTGATATACCTGAAAGGAGAAGGGGAGAAGAAACATAATTTAATTGCATTTTATATATATATTTTTTCAAATCAATATATGTAGTTTAAAGCTTAACGAAAATATATAAAACATGCATAAAATGTAAAACAAAAAATAAGGCTAAGAATATTTTCCAAACTAATGTTATATTCTTATATCAGAACGAATTAGGTACAGGCTGAGGACTACTTTGAAACCTCTTGAAAAATTCGTTAGCAAATAGGGGCAGTTGAAAAATAGACTCAGAATTCAACTTTAGTTCTGTTCTTTTAGGAACCAGATCAGCATTACAAACGACTTAATATATGGTTTAAACCTTTGGGCTTCATATTACTCGTCTGTACCATGTACTCACAGTTTATGACGTTTGTTCAATTAACGGTTGCATTTAATGGCATAAAAAATCAAGATAATATATACAAATTGACTGTAAAAGTAATCCATTATTTTTGCATTAAACTGAAGGCCTTCTCATAGTTAGAATTATCCGATTAATATTAAATAAGAATCTTTTTGATCTATAATCTTTTGCCATTTTGAAAATAATTTCATTATGCCTCTCTTCTAGAGACTCTTGCCCCTGTTGGCGAATAATAGGGCAACTGATTTCCACCGACTCCTTTAGAGGGCAATATCGAAATCATTCCCCATAGATAGGACTAAATGGTAATCACTTGGTGCAAGGTGCGGACTATAAGAACTTCCCAAATAATTTCCCCCATAACTTCATTCATTGTGGCCATGAAACACAATTCCTTTCCTGTTGGCGCTCCTTGGCGATGTCTTCTTTCCGAATTAGGTTTCCAGGCTTAGAGGAGTATTTCACAGTTCATGATTTCTTACCAATCCCACCAAATACACAACATAACCATCCCTGTCAACTTGCTCTGAATATTGTTTGTGGCTGTTCACTTTCCGTTCCCCAAGACGGTTTTCATTTGATGTTACTAGAAGTGATCTACTTGTTATCACCATTCACCATCCGTTTAAGAAATGGGTTACGTATAATAATATTCAGCTGCGATTCGCTGAAAGAAATTCGGTCCATGAAGTTTTCCCGTTAGGTCATGTGGTACCCATTCCTCTTCGCTGGTGCCCATTTCAAAATATCATTCGCGCTTATACAATAGAGCGCGAATGCAGAAAACTAAATCGTTCTACTGCAAAAATAATAATGAATGAAATAATGGATTACTTTTTACTATGCCAATATAATTGTTTTTCCAAATATTTTTGTATCAAAAGAATGCCCAAATATGTAGTGCTATTTATTGACTTCTAAAATTCAAAGTCAAGGAAAAATTTCATTTGCTAAAAGCCGCTGACTCAAAACATTTCTGTTTACCATTCAAATGCAAATAGAAGTAGAAAATATGCGACGATTTAGCGAACAAAAAGGAACAAGAATTATTTGTGTTCAGCAAAGTTTAAATATGTTGGTACACTTGTAAAAAAGTCTAACATAACAAATATATTTAAATTAATCTATAAAACCAACATTTAACAATCAACACAGCCAATAATCAATCAGAAGAAACTCATGTGATGTACGCTAATTTGAAGAGAATAAATGAATTATTTATTTATACTATAAATTTAGGAAAATAGTCTTAGGGAGAAAATAGGGATACATTTTGTATATGAGTTATTTTAATTTTTTTTTTAAAGAATATTTTATTGAATATGAAATTGCCATAAATAAATACGAGGGGACTAACAATTGTTCGGTTCGTTGGTGATTATTAGTCTTCCTTTCAAATTGTTAGAATGATTGTCTAAAATGGAAACGAGAAACCGCAAGATAGCTGAGGATAGGTCAGATTAAAGCGAGTACTAGGTAATAATATGGGATAAGCGAAGAAACCTGCAAGTTTTTGAAGACTGTTTTCAGCAGTGGATCTATAGGCTTAAGAAATGCATTGAAATCAAAAGTGATTATGTAGAGAAGTTAGTAAAGGACAAAAATTACGAAAAAAAATAATTATTATTTATTTGTTTTTTTTTTGTGATCAACTTACCGAACTTTTGTTAGTCCCCCCTTTTATTTATACATATGAATAGGTTTCTACTTTTTCTCATTTTTGTTTTCAATTTTCGAATATCTGTGCATTTATTTGTTAACTTAAGGCAAAATAATTAAAATAAATATCTTCGAGACAAGTTCTACACATCTGATCTTTATAAAAATTATAATTTATTATTTTAAATGTAAACATAAAATCGCCTTAAAAGTTAAATACAGTTATTTCCCATTAGAGCTAAAAACTCCTTAAAATATCTCAACCGCTTCCCAACAATATTTTGTCATATGATTTTTGTATGTATGTGTGTCAAAAATTGTGATGTTATATGTAATTAAATTACAATATATTCAAAAAAATGCAAATGTTTTTGTTCATGTTTTCAACAAATTAATAAGAAAAAAATATTTGCCTTAAATGTTGTACATAAAGAACAAGATTACACACACACGTTTTTACTTATATATAAGGTATATGCAAGGCAAACAAACCTCTCCTCTTGAAGCACCAGACCGCCATGTTTGTTTGCTTGAATTTAAATATACACAAAGCACTTGAATAGTTTTTCATGCAGAGTTGTAATAAAGTGGCGCCGAAATAATCCCCCCTTCAAAATTTATAACGCCATACCTTTTGGAAGCAAATTTATTTTTTTTTGTTGTAATTCCGAAGTACAGATGGCAACCCTCGGAATGGTCGCTATGTAATTTATTGCAATCAATTTTCAATAACGAAAAATGTTGTTCAAAAATATATTTATAAAAAGCTGATGAGATGATAACCCAATATGTACTTTAACTGGATGGAATTTAAGCCCGACAACGAAGCAACACGCTTTTAATATTACCTTAAAAGCACAAAAGTCCTAAATTCTTATTAATAATAATAATGCTGAAGAAGTTACACTTTCTTCCGCATTGATGACGAACTGATTCCATAGTATATTGGTACTTTTATCCAGCCACTCTTCATTTAGTCGGTGCTTAAACTGCACAATTCTATCACTAATAAATGGCGGTCCCAAAAATGGATTAAATAGCAAATCCAACCACTTGCGAAGGGTTGAGGGTTCACAATCTGGTCAAAATAAATTATGCTTTTGTTGTTTCTTTAAGGTCCAGCAGTTTTTCACGGCACATTCATGACTTCGTTAACACTTGAATAAAATATTCTCTACACTTTTACTGTTTTTTTATGCCAAATGGAACTAATTAAGTACATAGAATTTCACTCGTTAAAGGAATTAATTTAAATTTTATGTGAAGCATTAGAAATGCCAACCTTTCAGTTATTGTCTCAAAAATTAATTATTACTAGCCGAAAAATAAGCCGACAGCCAAAACAAATTTAAATGTCAACGCATTGCACTTAAGTTCCAGGAAAATTGATATGCTGATAGCTTTAAATGAAGTTGAGCGCAAACTAAGCAATAATAAAAATCTGTCTAAGCTCATTAAATTTTGTTAGCCTAATTAGTGGGTCACCAGCAATGCCAACTGAGTGGCATGAAAGTGTGAAATAGTTTGGAAATGAGTTTTAGCGTCAAATTGAAACGAGCGCCATAAATGACAACTAATTTGAGTGAGTGAGTGAGTGAGTGAGTGAGTGAGTGAGCATGCGAGTGCGGCGCTAATCGGCCAAGTTTAAATGTTTTTGCTACGAAAATAATGCTTTGAATGCTTCCATTACCAAATTTGTGATTATAACTTTCAATTTAATAACTTAAAAAAAAAAAAAACATATTCAAATTACTTAAAAAAATTATTTTCCAGCAAAGTAGCAAGTATAATTTAAAACTTACACTAAAACGAAAAAATAAAACTCCTTTGTACAGAATTAATTTGTTAGCAAACACAATATGTAAGAGACAACGCGATTAAACATTCGACACTGCACAAAAACAACAAACCACAACAAGCAGAAAACATTCAATGAGACAAATAAGCATTGTCTGTAACAATGCACCAATCACAAGCATTGCCTGCTGAGCTGCAGACAAAAGCAAAAATAAAAAAATTTCAAAAAAAAAAAAAAAAAAAAAGCACCAACACTGAGGCGTACATACATATCTTATAATATTGTATATGTAGCTACAAGCAAATGCCGACAAAAAAACTAACATATGTATTGCTCATGTACAACAAGCTAATAAAATGTTATAATGAACAAATAAAATAACTTAAATGTCAGACAAAATATAACAAAAAAACAACAAAAAACAACGAAATTGTAGAAATGTCGACTTTGCAATTTACAGAAAAAAAGCAAAGAATTTTGCCAATGACAGCGAAATATTACATAGATAGATGTAGGTATGTGTGATATCCATATGTATAGCTACTTATGTGCTTATATATATAAGGTACATCCCCAGGAAATATTTAATTCTAAGTTTAATTAACCGAAATCGGCCGAAAATCGTTTCACCGGTTAAAGAGCGTCAATTACTCGTATATATAATTCTTAAACGTTTAAAAAACCTGCTGTAAAATATTTTAGAATTTTTACTTTGAGGTCTATGACTTCTTTAAATTAATAGCAATAAGTTGTTAGATTTTTGATTCGACCACCAATTGATCTTTCATTAAGTTTTAACTGTCATAATTAAAAAACTCTATAAATATTTTGCGCCATATTCGTCCCGGCATAGAAAACGATGTTTGTTGATTTTGAGCTCAAACATGTTTGGTGTTTTGGGTGACATATCTGAAAGAATTTACCTACATTCATGTTATGTAATAAATATAAAAGTTAATATAACTTTGATAAAAATGGGCGGTCAAAACTGTATGAAAATTAGTCGAATACTCCCAAAAGGCATTGCGCTGATTTTTCGTTTTGAAAAAATTGAAGCTCAGAAGATGAGAAAATTGTTCCAGCTTTCGCCCTGGATAATAATCATGAACTTTTTCTTTAAAAATGGATACTTCAAAGTGAAAAAATGCTTCTACCTCTGTGATATAAATA